AAAAACGCAAAATATTTAGTCGAGCATTTGAATTCCTTCCAGGTAATCTATGAGCAAATGAAAGATCCGATTTTTCAAATATCGCACCTGTATTTTTAGCTACAATTAAGACTTTTTCAATGTTTCGGTTGCATTCTACTTTTGTCATCCGATATTCCAAATATCCGCAAAGTGTTCCGCCTATTATAGCGCTCCAAAAGATCTGCTTCTGACATACTTTTCAAACTACTTTTCCTCGTCTCCATCTCTATCGTTTCCATAGTCTCTTTATATACAGATTTTTTGATATCCTGCATCCCTTGATTGGTTAAAGAATTAAAATAGCTGATAGTGATTTTTCCATTTTGTCAATATTTTTTGGGATATGTTTCTCTAATACATCCTCAATGTTAGATTGTATAGTCTCATTTAGGCTGCTGTTTGTTTCAGAAATTGATTGCAATTCTGGGCTAAGAGACACACACGTTCCGTTCGAAGAAGATTAAGAGACCGTCGTCTGGTCTTGAAAGCTTAGCTGTTAAATATAATTGTTTGATTCTTGGACGCTGAACTCTTCCGTTGGTTTTCCAATAATCGGGTCAGTCTTTTCCATTTAACGTCTCTTTCTATCACGTTTATCACAACAATTAGGCTACCAAGAATCATCATGAGATAACTAATAACGAATCTATAGGTTGACCAATGTTGCTAAAAATCGTTACTTTGGTTTCTTTCGGCAGCTTGTTTTCGTGTTCCAATTGCTTTTTTTACCGTAGTCATCCGAATGAACCCATGTGTTGCTAATTTATGAGATTCACTTTTTCTGACTGATGCCTCAAGTGCTCTTAAAAGTACTTAAAGGCAGACAACGATGCAAAAGGGTAGAGATTGTTTTGTGGGAATTGAGAGTTTGAGTGGGGCTGGATGTTACATGATGGATGTGTGTGAAATTGAGTGGATGTGGTTGGACACGTACGTACCCTTAGCATGTCTACACTGAACCTCTGCAGAATGGTCTCCCTCTTCAGTTTCTGGAACTCCCTGAGAGTGCAGCCGAGGAGTGCCTGGATGATGCACTGGTTGAAGTAGAGCGAGGCCCTGTAGCACGTGTAGATCTGCAGTCCACTCCTCACACAAATGAATGCCACGTTGCCTCAACACACACACACACACACACTATTCTAATATTGCGTACTTTTCTTTCAAAAACTGGTACCTCAATGATCAATGTTGGGGCATCGAGGAAAATTTCAGCTTCGAGAAAATCTGGTCTGCTTTTTTTTTGTTTTTCAGTCTTATTTCCACATCAGACTTGTTTACCCCATATGCTCTCAAACTGACATTCTCTTCTTTTTTGAATTTATCTAGCAGCTTGCATTAATTTTGCAGCATATGGTTATTCCGATTTTGTCCTTGACCCATAAAAATACTCATTAAGACGTCAAACTCAGTTTTATATTAGAGCACAAAAATGAGCTCGCTAGTGTCTGCTTTCCACAGGCATATCTCTTACATGAGTTAGAATTTTTATTCGTAGCTGAAATTGGATGCTTAATATTGACTTCACAAAGTCCTGACCTAACAATTGTTGTTCTGGAACCCAGCGACAAAGGCGTTTTGGCCGTTGAACTAAATTCGGTTAAATCCACCGCATTCCAGAGGCTTTTTATTGCTGTTTTGTCACTGGATTCCAAAAGTTGTCATCGGATTCCAGATTTTTTGTCATTAATTGTCAAAAAAATCATTGGTTTGAAGTATACATGTGCAGTTAATAAATTATTTTAGGGTTATTTTTCTAGAGGAATAGCGGTTTGGGTTCTATCGAATTTTATAATGTTTGTTTGACAACAAGAAATGAGAGTGTGTGTGGAATGCAATGAAAAAAAATTTGGAACTGAGTCACAAAAACAAAATTATGAGTGAGGAATCCAGCTGCTTTTAATGGAATTCACAGATAAAAAAGAGCGGCCTTGTCAGTGGAATCCGAAACAAGCATCCCGCACTCAGTAAAAAGAGAAAATAATAGATTATAGTGGATTTGTATTGTCAGTCTCCATAAATTTCAAAAAAAATTTTTGATTATAATAAAAAAAATGGCTTAAAATGCTACTATTTTCGGTTAATCGGTTATAATCGAATAATTTTTGAATTTTTTTCTCAAATTTTTTTGAATTATAATCTATTAGATTTGATTATAATCCATTGTTTTTCAACCTACGTCATCGCTCCATTTCCTCTTATTTTGTTTCGTTTTGTGCGCATTTCGTTTGGTTACCGAACTAAAAGAAACCGCAAATTTGTACCTATAGCCAGGGACGTCCGATACTCCCCTCCCCTGTAGGACTAGAACCCCCGCCGACCCGAAGGGCCTCCCTTTGAAGTATTTTGAGATATCCATTTTTGGCGTTGGAGCCTAATAATTGTCTATTGTCACATTGTCTGAGCCGGAAGCAAAGTTTTGAAAAAAAGGCCAAATAAAGCAATTGTTTTAGTCAAAAGTTTCTAAAAGTGCCTAAAGACCCTTTTTTGGCCTGTTTTTTTTTCAAAAATCTGCCTGCGGCGTAGAAAATTTGACAAAAAGGTTTTTTTTAGTTCTTAAAGCTTAGATAAAGCTCGGAGAATCAATTTGGTCGATATTAAAAAAAATTGAAAAAATTTTAGAAAGTTTTTGAAAATCCGACGCTCCTTCGAGAAAATTCTAGATCCGCCCCGTCTTATAGCTTAAATCCAAATAAAATTTTTTTAACTGTGTTTTTATGAAGACTGGCTTAATAAAATCCACTATAATTGATTTTTGTGAAATAATATTTTGATAGAAAAAGGATTTTTGCAAAAAAATCCTTTTTCGCAAAAAAAAATTTTCGCAAAAAAAATTTTCGCAAAAAAATTTTCGCAGATTTTCGCAAAAAAAAAAATTATAATCAATTATAATTGATCATAAATTATCAAAATTCACTAAAAAGGTTATCAGTATAATGGATGATAACTGGTTTAAAAATCTAAAAATAGCGCATATAGGTAATTATAGTTTTGCTAAAAGTACTATTATAATTATAATATAATCAATTTTTTTTCTGCTTTTTTGAGTGCGAGATGGTTAAGTGTTTGTCCCTGAGTTCTGCCCGCACTCATTAAAAGGAGAAAAAAATCGATTATTTTATAATTATAATCGTACTTTTCGCAAAATTATTAAAAGCAACTGAAAAGCACACAAAACGAAACAATAAAAATGGATTATAAATCAATAAACTTGAGAAAAAAATTTCAAAAATTATTCGATTGCAATCGATTATAATCCATTATAATGATTTTTTTTGTTACGAAAATTGTAACATTATAATTCTTGTTTAATCAATTATAATCAATTCTTTTTGAAACTTCTGGGGACTGAAGTCATTAGTCTTCTCCCGGGTTGACCTCCATAAACCAAAAAAGTTTATCATGCAGTTCCATAAATCAAGTGTGTGCAAAAACGCTTGTCATACAACTTCCATACAATTTCCAAAAGTGGTTGAAAAAAGATTTAACATAATTTTTGCTGCCGTTTGATTCTTATAAAACCGTTTGGTGATAAAAAGACTGAGGTTTTTATTTTATAGAAAAATGCTTATCATACAACTCCCAGTTATGGAAATTGTATGGCCAGCGTTTTTTTGATGCGACACAAAATTTTCCCAAGTCTTTCCAAGTATTGCCCCAAAAAAAATTTTTCAACCGCAAATTGAGTTTTGTACGCAAGCAAACATTTTCCAAAGAAATGTGCATGCAAAACTTAATTTTTTTGTGTTCAAAACGTAGTGCTGTTGATTGTTTTCCTTTTCGCTGGATAACTTTTTCAAAAACGCTGAAAGCTTTTTTCAAAAGCGCTGAGGCAAAACTTTGAAAAAACAGGCCAAATAAAGTACGTTTTTTTGGTCAAACTTTCCAAAAGTGCCTAAAAACGCCTTTTTAGCCTATTTTTTCAAAAATCTGCCCGCGGCGTAAAAAAATTGACAACAAGATTCTTTTTAGTTTTTTGATAAATTTCGGAGAATCAATTTGGTCGATGTAAAAATCCCACGCTTCCTCGAGAAAATCCTAGATCCGCCCCTGCTTACAGCTTAAACCCAAATAAAATTCTTTTTACTGGGTTTTTATGCAAAATGGCCTAATTAAAATCCACCATAATTGATTTTTTTTGTGAAATAAAAATTTGATCGAAAAATGGATTACAATCTATTATAATAGATTATAACAGATTCTCGGAAAAATTATAATCAGTTATAATTGATTATAATTTATCAAAATCTCACCAAAAATTTTACCCTTATAATGGATGATAAATCGTTTTAACATTTAAAATTAGCGCTTATAGTTAGTTCAAGTTTGCTAAAAGTACAATTATAATTATAATATAATCGATTTTTTTCTTTTTTCGTTGAGTGTGGGATGGTTAAGTATTTGTCCCTGAGTTCTACCCGCAATCATTAAAAGGAGAAAGAAATCGATTATTTAATAACAATAATCGTACTCTTAGCAAAGTTATAATTAATTATAAGCGCCAAGTTTAGATGTTTATAAGATTTATAATCCATGATAATGATAACATTTTTAGAGACAATAAGTTAAAAACAATTATGATTGACTATGATTTTTTCCAAAATTTTTAAAAAATCTATTATAATAGATTATAGTCCCTGATTCTATCGAAATATTATCTCACAAAAAAAACCAATCATTATGGATTATAATGTAGGTAGTCTGCAAGAAAATTACATTTAATGTAAGTTTTACCTATAAGCAGGTGCGGTTCGAAAACTTTGTCGACTTTTTTTTAGGTTAACTAAAATGATTCCAAGCCTCTCAAGGCATTTAAAAGACCCTGTTTCGGTCAATTTTTCTGCGCCGCAAGCAAAATTTTGAAAAAACAGGCCATAAAATGCACTTTAAAGCCCTTTTGGGAAAAGTTGACCAAAAATCGGGTTCTTTTGGCGCGCAACTTTCATACAATTTCCAAAAGTGGTTGAAAAAAGATTTAACCTAATTTTTGTCGCCGTTTGATTTTAATAAATCAGTCTGGTTATAAAAAGACTGAGGTTTTTGTTTTATGAAAAAAATGCTTATCATACAACTCCCAGTTATGGAAATTGTATGGCCAGCGTTTTTTTGATGCGACACAAAACTTTCCCAAGTCTTTCCAAGTATTGCCCCAAAAAAAATTTTCAACCGCAAATTGAAATTTGTACGCAAACAAACATTTTACAAAAAAATGTGCGTGCAAAATTTCCTTTTTTGTGTGCATAAAGTAGTCCTGGAAACACTAATGTTGAATTTTTCTCCTTTTCGAGTAAATTTTTTCAAAAACGCTGAAAACTCCTATTTCTTTTGTATGGCGTGTTTGCTTATGCCTTGATCGATGTCTAATACTTTAACAATTCAAGTTTTTAAAATAATCATGAGTTAAAGCTTTTGCCTAACTTTAAAATTTTTTTTCCTTCTTTTGTTACTTTTGTGACCAACTTTTGTTACTCTGAGTGAACCAAGGTATTTTTCACTTGCGTTTGCTTACGAACACGACCCAAAATTTTCAGAAATTGAATTGGAAAAAAAATCAAATTTTTGGTTCATGGAAAAAAAACTTGTCATGCAATTTTCATATATGGAAAAAGTTTCATCATAAAGATTTCATACAATTTTCTGTGCGCATGGAATTGCAAGACAAGAAGTTTCTCTTATATGGAAATAGTATGATAAGAAATTTTGGTCATCCCGGGCTAATTGCAACTCAATGATCGTCTGAGGAATCCAGTACAATTTTTGCCGAAAAGAGAGACGAAACCTGTGGAATTCAAACTAATTTAAGTACTCCCGTGTGTGGTGTTGTAATGCCAGATATTTTCAAAAAGGAAGATAAAACGAACCTAGTTTGACAGCGCAGTACTTTGAGAAGTAGTTAATGTTGATATCGTGTTTTGACGGCCCCGAATAACTGGAAGAATTCCGTTTTCTTACTTCGTTAAAATTCGCCTCTACTTCAGCAACCGCCCACTCCTTCAGCAAAATTGCGCCCAAAACTTCCATTATGACGTAAGCCAGAGCGGCAAACTGCCAAAGGGAGAATAAAAACACACTGGCTCCTTTGATCCATGCCAAAACGCTTTTGATCCAGTTTCGGCTGACTTTATCTTGGGCTTCTTCCTCTTCGCTGGATTGAGATCCGGTGTCGCTGTCATTTTCGGTCCCAATGTCACTTAATGAATCAATGACAACATCTCGCATTTCTATCGCTTCATATTTTTGTGAGCTTTTTTGACCCTTTGACATGCCAGTTTGTAGAGCATGGTATCCGTTCTTGTGTTTCCGGGTGTCTCTGTCAGTGCTCGGCATCTGTTTCGGATCTTCGATTGGAGCTGTAAGCCTTCGGACTGGAAGCGGCGTCGAGGGGTCGAAAACAGAAGTTTTGCTCTCGTATCTCTCGTGTCCTGAGGCGAATGTTGCGTGAAACGAGTCCCGCGTGGTGTCGTCATCGTGGTCACTCGGATGACTCATCTCTGCCTCCTCTTCCTCCTCCTCGGGTACTCGGAATGTCTCGCGACGAGAGGATGGCAGGTTGCTCACTGTACTTTCGGCTCCACTTCTAAGATAAGTTCGTGATTATTACAAACAATTTGCATGCACCACTTGAAGAATTGGGAAGGAACAATAGCCTAGCAAGTTCGCTTTTCAAGCAAAACCAGGTAAATGTTTTTTTAACGTAGAAAAGAAGAACTATTAGATGAGATCGCAAACCTGCTGCCACTGGATATCTTGCGTATCCTGCTGTCCACGCACGCATCCTGTTCAGTCTCACACTCCACAGTCCCTTGCTTCTGGCGGCTGTCCACACTAGTCGCAAACTCGAACCTGGTCAAACAGTTTTGAAGTAACATAAAAAAGAAATGTTCCAAAATTCCCTTGTAGCTGTTTCGTAGTCGTTCTTTCTATTTTTCAAATCATTTTTGCGAGGAGAGAAACCAAATGTGTCATACAAATGTTTAGAGCCAGCCTTAATTTACCAAAACTGTTGAATTACATGCATTTTTTCCATCAGTTTTAACAAACGTTCCTACTCTTGGTACCAGAAAAACGCTAAATGTAGCTTCAGAAACTAGTCTTTCACATCTAAGTTTTTTTCCTAGCTCAGTTAAGAGCAGTCAAAAATTGGACTAAGCATCAACATTTTCCGGGACTTCAACATAATAAGTTTCTCAATCTCTCAAACTTTTTAGCTGCGTCAAGGCTTAAATTTTTGCTTCAGAAAAATTTTTCGACACAGAAATCTTTGCATTTTTTTCAAAAACCGATTGACTGAACGGGCTTTAGGACTAAAAAGGGGTGAATGACAAGGATACAGATCTGGTCCAGACAGTTAACTTAATCGGAAATTATGAGAGTCAGTAAAGCAATTAAAGCAGAAGCAAAACATCCATTAAAACAAAATTATTAGCCGAATATTGAATCACTAATTATTACAGCAGTTAGTCTTATTTTCGTTCGACTTGATTGGAACCTGATCTAAACTACATTTTATGATTGGATAAATTAGATATTTTACCAATGTAAAGTATTTAATATTAACCAATCATGATCCATCTGACTAACAATCCACTTATTTGTAAGTGCTGAAATTACTTGTAATTTCAGCACCAGAGAGATTTGAATTTAACTTAGAAATTAGTTGACTCTCCAAGAAGACTTCAGCAACCGCAATAAACCAGTATACCCTAGATCTATTGAGCCTAGCAGAGACTAGTTAAACAACCTGAGACTAGATAGTATAAGAGTAAGATTAGGATTGGTATTAGACTAAGAAGTTGCACGAATCTATCCGGCCGAAAATAAGATAGCGTGACGAGCAGACGGTGTAACCTATCCGAAATTACTCTATGAGTTATACACTTCGGTCCTAACTCATCTGGTGCGACCATAAGTCTCGAACAAGACCTTAATAGCTTAGAATTAACCAAAAATAGATTAGAATTTAGACAAAACATTTTTAAAATAATACACGACGATAATTTAATCGAAATGTCTCTACGACTCAATAGATCAAAGCCAATATTCCGAACGATAAGAGAACTACCCGGAATTGCAAGAAGACCTCGAACCAGAGACGACATACGACAAAGTAGAAACTTACCATATAGTTATATGATAGTTCGGCAAAAGCCAACACAAACTTTTGTATTCAGAATACTACTAGCAATGAATTTAGATTTTCATTTGCAAACATAAAATCTTGAAGTCAATCATCAAAATCATTTCAGGCGCTAAACCAAATTATTAATATACAATAACGATTGATAAGGAGATCTCAGATCGTTTTCCTAAATTCTGCAGTAATATACAAAACATGTTTGAAAAATATTTATTGAAAAATCAAAATAAAAATTTGTAGCATGACAATAAATGGTTAGTAATTATAAATCATCCTGTTGTTCCAGCTTCATCACCTAAACATAACAGCATTCATAAGCTCACTAATATCATAAAAACACTAAATCTTTTCTCTACACAAATTTAAATCATTTTAAACTTAAATTCACTTAAATTTAAAATCAGATCATCAAGGCTCATCCTTGGATCTTAAATCATTTTCTATTTGATTAAGTTTAAAACTTGATCATCAAGGCCTCTCCTTGGATCAAAAAGAACAATTTTGTTCTCCCCCAACCACTTAGCTAGTGTCTAACGACCTCAAACGTCGATTCACTATCCAACCCTTTCTAAAAACCCAGGACTAACAGAAATTTTTGGACAAAACTAATCATTCAAATTAGGATAAACAGTGAAGAACTTCGGTTATTCATCCTTCACTTGATCCCCCTCTTACCAGACCCAAGATAAATCTTAGACTTAGTAAGTTTAAAATAGTATCTAACGAACTACTCGCGTTCTAATTATACCTGAACCTTGTGGATCGATTTACTATTCTCCAACCCTGAACACAATCACTACCCTTAAGTAAGATTAAGTAAGTTAACACCTTAGCTTATACTAGCCACGAGAAAGTATAAAATCATTCTTCGGAATCGATATACTTTTCTCCCCAACCCTGAACAAATAGACCCAGGTTAGGCTAACCAAAAAATCGTAAGGACTAACAGTCTAAGTAATAGAAATCATTTAACAACCTTTTGCATCCGTCATCCTAAACCTTATGTCATTTAAAAACCTAGGAAATAAACAAACAATCGTTTTACACAATTGTGAAATAGATAACAAAAAATACGATCTTGTAATCACACCACACACACAAACAGTTGGATATATCAGAACAAAACGACAAACACTAAAAAGAAAAATAATAACCAAACAAAGACAAATTACACGAAAAAGATTTTCCAAAAACCGCAACGCATTTTCAGAATCAGAAACCAGCAGTTTAGACGAACTTTATAAATTAAAAAAATCTATAGATAAAAATTGCCCCATTCACGATCAATTATATTTTTCCGACTCAGAAACAACTTCAAATTCATCAAAAAGAGGAAAAAGAAGAATAAAAAAGCAATATAAACACAAACCAGTACATTTATACAATTGGAATCAACCAATTAGACACATTGATAATTACATATTAACAGTCATCAAACGAAAAAATGAGCTCAACACACACCCCAGGTGAAGAAAGTCCAGATGATGATGATATCTTCCCCTTTATCGTAGATGCAACCACTGATAGAGGACAGCATATATTTTGCAAAAATTTACTCTTAAATTTGTTTGAACCCGGATTCAGTCCATGTAAAACAGAGTTCCCAGATGAAAAAATCAAAAGACAAATTATCGATCACTATTTGAAAGATATATGTAACTTAACACAACAATACGGAATCTACTCCATAGAATTCAACTCACCAAACCAGAATCACAGCAAATATGTAATTCAAACAGACGACCTTGATTTAGAATTCTCAAAAGTATTCTCAGAATATATACAAAGCATACAATATCATAACTCACAAAGAGCAAACTCCATATTCACCAATGAAGTTTTTGCAATAATATATAGTTATATCTCGATATTAGAAAACGAAATCCCAATCACAAATGTTTCACCGACAGAAACATCTAAACATATAAGAGTACGACATGAAATCACACTACTCTCTAGTTTTCTAAATATAATTAAAGAAAATTTCACGAAAGATGAAGTTTCACAACATACAAAACACGACTTACAAAAAATTTTGGCATGGTTCATAATAGATTATTTCACACATAATATTGATTTAATTTCACAAGCAAGAAAAAATTTTAGACCCCAAAACTCAAACGATGATACTGCCATCACAGAACAATCAGACTATGTTTGGGACCCCGAATGGTCTCATCCCGCATTCATAAACTTCCCACAATCAATCTCAAGTCAAGCAATAAGTACGATATCTTATGTAAGAGATTATGTAAGAGTAATACCATTAACCATTGATGCAACACCATTAAACTATAATACATTTTTACCTGATATGCAAAATAATAGTTTAAACTCCACAGTCATACACAATGAAAACCTCAATGGAACTAGAAATCTCACTCAACAAGATATCCAGACACCATCACACTTCATAAATGAAGAAATCGTACACACAACAACTACACAACAAAGTATTTCACCAATACGTCCAAATTTAACAACACCAAGAAATACAAACCCTTCACAAACACAAGTAACCTTACAATCAACCGTTAAACCTTCGGTTGCCCCAAAATATTCACACATGGATTATCAAACATACAGACCCATGACAATACCGTCAAAAACACGTAAAACGTTCACTAGAAACAATTTTGCAGAACATAATTATAATTACACACATCCATCAAAAACAAATTATCCCCCACGAAAAAATTTTAATAATTATACAAGATCTCGAAACTGGGATAACCCAATGGCACAAACTAATTCAGTAAACTTTCAAACAAATTTACATCCTTCACAGGATCGTAGTGAAAACTATCCATTTTTTCAACAAAATAAAAATAAAAAACAAACATCTTATCAAATGGATTACTTATCATCAGATGATGATTTTTTACAACCAGATATATTTGCACCATATAATCAAGAATATCGTGGACAAGGAGTACAGAAACCACATACAAATCATAGAATTTTTTCTCCACAACCGATAGATACACAAAATCAACAACCAATTCAGCAACAAAACCCAATTAATAAACAATATTTTCAACCAATTCAGCAACAAAACCCAATAATCACACACTCGTATCAACCGACACAAATGCAAAATGAAATACCACTCCCATATTATCTTCAACAACACGAAATAACAAGAAATCAACTTTCAAATTTTTCTCAAATACCAAATGCAGCAGAATCATTACAAATGACAATGAATCCATACCTTATGGGTGGATCATCAATAACATCAAATAAACCTTTAATGGTATTCACAGGAACAGACCCTGAATATCTGTAGAAGACTATTTAAATGCAGTAACAGCAAATTTGATTTTAAATATAGGACCTGAACCAATTAATACGCCACTACATCAAAACTGGATACATCGACGCACAGCGTTGATACAAACAACTTTAGACGGCGCAGCCCAAAAATGGTTTTCAGTATTGCCTATAGAAATAAAATCAAATTGGAAAAGGTTTACACAAGACTTTTCAAAAATGTTTGACTCCGAAAGAAACAAACAACAACAAAGAGTTTTATGTAATGAAATTCGCAGATTACCAAATGAAACCATCAAGCAATTAGCAGTACGCATCGAAACACTAGTTCGAAAAGCATATTCATTAAATACACACGACTATAAAAACACAAAGATGACAGAAATCTTAATGATGACCTTAACACCGCAATTAAGAAAAATAGCAATAAAAA